CTGCCAACTCTACTGTGTAAGAAGAATGATTTTCAGAGTATAGTGAGACTGAAGGCTAAGATACGGAATAGCTAGAGGCCGGGGGTTATTGTTTTGTTTGGAAATAGCATTACTCTAAATTTCTAATTAATGTTTTTATTCTCTTAGCATGTGGGACTGACAGTATTTCTAAGTCATTCATGATTATGTTGTGCCATTAAAATGTCAAAGGCTGTATTTATAGTGTTGGCTTTATTTCAGTGCCAATTTATAAATTGTAAAACCACCAGTTTAATGTCGAAACTTTAAAAATGTTTTATCCTATTGCATATTAGAAAAAAATGTATGGGTTGAATATAGCTTCATTACATAATGTAAATACAGTTTTTTAGATGAAAACTGTTACCAATTACGTGCACTGCATCTGTTGGATAATAAATAGCTTTGAAGAGATAGGAAAAAAAGAAAATTAAATAATTTATTCTGAAAAAAAATGAGTATCCAGATTATTAGAATTATTCCAAAGCACATGTTTTGGTCATTTACACAATCAAAAATATAGATAATTCTCAGAAACGTTACTGATTGTAAAAATTAGAAAGATAATTTTCTTTCTAATTATCACCATTCTTCCTCCTTTTCTATATTAGAGCACTATCTTCAATAAATGGGATTCTGACCTGGATTTGTTCTATCACAGTGACTTCACTTCAACCTCAGATTATATTTGCTCTTTTTTTCACATATATTGTTTTATCTCTTAGAACTCTTGAGAGGTAAACCGTTAGCCCTAATTAGTGAATTTCTTCCTCATTTAACATGCATTGGGCACATATTGTGAGTGACAGTTCTACAGTAAAATCACAGTTCTTGTTATTAAGTCCTCAAACTCTGATTGGTGGTCAACTCCAGTGGCTGGGTTGGTGATAAAATGAGGGAAGGCAGCCCAGTGTGACAGTGGGGAGTGGTGGAGACTAGTATACTAAAGAATATGTCCCATGTAAGGGACAACTGAGCATTAGCTCTAGCTCATGTTGCCTTGATGTGGGACCCAGGGTTGTCAGATTGTCTAATTTTTCAGAACATTCTTTATTTTTAATATTGAAAACAAATTTTAAAGATTAAGTGCTGCAGTGACTAAAGAAAGTAAATGCTGGCCAGATGCAACACAAAGGCTAGAAAGAGAGCAAAGTAACCGGGTCATTATGCAGCGTGTGGAAGTCTAGAGTGCTGTGGAAGCAGAAAGAAGAGGTGCCCATGCAGATTCAGGGGGATTCCAGAGGACCTGTGACAGGCTAGGGGCAGGCATTGTAGAGGAAGGGGCAGTTGAGGGACCCGAAGATGGAAGCTGTCACTGTGGTTTGAGACCCAGGGATCCGCCCAGCCAATCAGAGATGAAGCCAGGAGCTGCTCCTCCCTGGCAGTGCTCACCTGCCTCTGCCTGGTGACACAGTAGCACAGGTATTCATGATTCTAGACAAGAAGGCACAAGGGGTGTGCATTATAACACCTACTGGATTTATCGTAGTTAGAGGGAGGCCAATTAGCATACATCTGTGTTAGTTACCATTCACTCAAATGAGCAGACTGAGCAGCTTTGAGAAGCAGCCACTCTGTGCAGGTGATCAGCATGTTTCCCTGCTCTGCACTTGGGGTTTGTGTCCCTTCTTCTTTTCATGCTCCTGATACTGCCAAGCTGCGTATTGTTGTGGAATAGAAGACAAGCTGATATTCCATGCTTGTGGAATAAAGTAAACCAGGCATCATTAGTCTTCTCCCTAGTGCTTATGTGGGGCCAGTTTCTCCACACATGTCCCCCAAGAAATGCATGCTAGACTGTTACAGATGCTGTCAAGACTGGAGGTTTTGGCAAAGTATGAAAACCCCAGCATCCAGACCCTTGGTACCTAATCTCAGTCATTTGTATGGCTTGTGCTTGCTAAATCATCCCCAAATAAATAGAACACTGAAGCATATAAAAGCATTTTTCTATTTTTGAGCCAGACCCTGGATGTCCAGAATTTTTTTAAAAATGTCATAAATAACCTTTTTATTGCCTTATTTTTATTTTAAATATTATTACTTAAACGCTGAAGCTGCTTCATTAAATTTTCCTTCTTTTTATGAATGCCAAAGAATTTCATAAGGAATTTCATTCCACTCCAGGAAATTCAAGGTCACACTTATAACCCTCCACCAGTGAAATGGTTTATTTCTAAAATACTCCTTGGCCAGGCTGTGTCAAAAGGTGTTTTGGAGATCACCACCTCAGCCAAGCTGTGAGCTCCCTTGAAGGAACACGTCGTGCCTTCTCCTAGCCTAGTCCAGCCACCTTTCAGGCACCTAATAACTGTTTGACCAATGTTTGTTGAATAAATGAATACATTGTTAAGTGTACTATTGCACTATGTGTTTGTGATCAGTTTTGTTGAGGTAGCCCTGCTGTACCGAATGGCAGGAGTCACTGGCTACTGGCAGTGGGGTAGGACTCAACCCTAGGTCAGCATGGCGGGATGCTGAGGGGCCCTGTTACCAGGCATGAATTGGATTTGATTTCCGCTGGTTCTAGTATTTGTTCCCTTTGACCTTCAGTTTTCTCTTCCATCGTATGGGGATAAATGTCTACTTTAGAGCATGGTAGAAAGAAAAACAAGCTATCCTTTTTTAAAGCACTAACACAGTACTCAGCATTATAAATGTTTGGTTCAAAGTGTTAGTGGATTCTTAGTCCTCAGATGCCTTCTGCAGGTCCCTAGGTCCAACGCTGCTGTGGCGTGACTGCGGCTGCCTGGATGCCTCCTGTTCGTCCGATGGATTACAGTCTTCGAGGACTGTCACATCCTAACAGATCATTTGATCCTCAATAATCATGTCATTAACATGAAGGACAATATTAGTTGCAAACACTTCTATAGCACTTATTATGTGCCAGAAACAGTTTACATCAGCTAATTCTCCTGAAAGTGCTTTACAGCTGTTAAACTCACTTACTCCTCACAGAAATTTCAGGAGGTAGGTACTGTCATTCTGCCCCATTTAGAAATGAGGAAACTGAGACTCAGGATTAAGTAACTTATCCCAGGTCTCACAGCTCATAAACAAAAGCAGCATTAACAGCATCAGCAACTGCTCGGGGCACTGGGCTCAGCACTTTGTGTGTTAGCCCATTACTCTCCACAATGCACCTGTGAGATGGGTTCTATTTTTAGCTCCTTCTGAATGTATGGCGTCAAAGTGACAGTGTTGAAATGCTTCACTATTTGTCTGCCTTTTTCAGCTGTGAGTGTAGTATCCCACCTAGACCATTCTATCCAAACTAATTTCTCGAATATGATATGTGCCGACTGACTTGTCAATCTCTTTGTCTCATATTTGTGTAAATTCCTTGGCATCATCCCTGTTTTTTCATATTAGTTTTAATTCCACCTAAGTTATACATTTTTTTACTTTTAAAACTTAATACATTTTTTTAAAAAAATTTAAGATCGTATCATGAAAGAAATAACCTGAAGCGTGCACTTCAAAGAATGTGATTTTTATCTTCTCACCCTAACCCTGTGTCTACACAAGCAGTAAGTTGCATGGTTGGGTAATTGCTGGATGATTTTGAGATATGCCAGCAAGAAAAAAAAAAGTTATGACCAAGAAGCTGGAAAAGTGAAAAAAGCTGTTTGAATTCACTTCAAATGGGTCATTCACTCAACAAAGGTAAATGATTTTTCATTGCCCTGGCAACGTGACCTGCCTGGGCAGTGGGCGTGGTTCGTCTGGGTTCAGCCACTTCCGGGGTACCCGTCAGCTCACCCCTGGTAGCTGCTCAGCCCACAGCGGAGGCAGCTCTGCTCCTCTGCCTCCTTCGTTGTTGTCGCTGTTGTTTTTCTTGAGCTCTTTACCCAGGATTCTGGTTCCGTGCCCTGGTTTCTTTCTAAGTCAGATGATCCACTTGGGATCTCTGCTAGTTTTGGAAGCTTCGACTTTAAAGGAAACAGAACCGCTGTTTCTCTACCTGATGGAGCAGCCAAATGAGACTTTGCTTTTTCTTTTTCATCGCTTCTCTGGACATGTGTGAATCTGTAAAAAAAAAAAAAAAAAAACAGCCAGATTTGGTTCTACATTTTAGTTCATTCCTCGTAAAGATAAGAAGGGTTGGTTTATCTTTTATTGAAATGTTGGGTTAGTGCCTGTGATTTCACCACTCGTAAATGACTTTTATATGTTTTAAGATGAATGCTTATTTTTCTGCCATGCATACTTTGCACTATACTGGTTTTGGGAAAGAATCCACAGATGCCAAATATTATCTGTCTGTTTCTTAGTGAAGAAAAGTTGTTAAGATACAAGCATAGCATCTTCATTTAACAGCACGTTTTTTTTCAGGGTACATGTGACACAGTAGCTGTAGAAAGGTGTGCTCCACCTGGGTTTGCATCCAGCTGCGCCTCGTACTAGCCAGTGTGACATTGGGCAGGTTACACAGCCCTCTCTGAGTCCCAGTTTCCCCATCTCTAAAATGGGAATGTTGATAGGATCTACCTTCTAGAGCAGTTGTGAGGATTAAGTGAGTTAGCATGCTAAAAAGAGTACCTGGCACATAGTGCCTAGGGAGGGCTGTTATTTTATCACTACCATTACCCTGTTGTCAATGCCCAAACCCATATAAATGGGAGGGTTATATAGTCACTATTTGAATAGAATTTCACACTGAGTGAAGCAGATTGGCCACTGTAGAGACATGGGTAGAAAATATCAATAAAGGCGAGTATAGCCTGGGAACTGAGAGTTTATAAGAGTTTTGCTTATAATGTATAGGTAGTCAAAGCTTCAGTTCTCATAATCTGAATTTTAAAAGAATTACATATTATTTGTCTATTTTACTTTTTTAAAGGTGTCTATTTCTTCTTTTAAAACGCAAATAATATTTATTACCTAGTTTAGTAAGTGGTAAATGTTATATAGGAAACAGAGCACAATCACTGATGTTTTTAATATTAACTACATCTTCCTTTCTATCTTTTATTTAGAACGCTTCAACAATAAATACATTTGATAAAGAAAGATGGCTTTAAAAGTACTTCTAGAACAAGAGAAATTGTCGTTCACTCTTGTAGTGTTACTAGGCTATTTGGTAAGTAAACTCCTGCTTCTTTCATAAGAATGTGGTGAAAGAATTCATGTGTTAATAAGTAGTAGTACTACCAAAATTATTTTATTTTTTATTTTTTTGAGACAGAGTCTTGCCCTTTCACCCAGGCTGGAGTGCAGTGGTACAATCTCGGCTCATTGCAACCTCTGCCTCCCGGGTTCAAGCGATTCTCCTGCCTCAGCCTCCCGAGTCACTGAGATTACAAGTGCCCACCACCATGCCTGGCTAATTTTGTGTTTTTAGTAGGGCTAGGGTTTCACCATGTTGGCCAGGCTGGTCTTAAACGCCTGACCTCAGGTCATCTGCCCACCTCAGCCTCCCAAAGTGCTAGGATTACAGGTGTGAGCCACCACCATAAATTCTAATTTGGAACCTATGACCTATACAGATTATGAAGAATTTAGAATACATTTTTAAAAGTTATTATTTTATATACTTGTTTATATTCTTGTTGGTTCCAAAAAGCATGAAAAACAGATAGAAAAGTTTAATATTTGGAAGTTTGATAAAAGATCTATGAAGGTGTTCAAAAGAATGAAATTTATTTAATCTAGAGATAATGATCTACAGATATATAAAGAAATATTTACACTGAAGACGGTACACAAAGTTTTCTTGAAAGACAAAGTTAGTCTGGATGCAGTGGCTCATGCCTGTAATCCCAGCACTTTGTACTGCCGAGGCAGGTGGATCATTTGAGGTCAGGAGTTCAAGACCAGCTCGGCAAACAGGGTGAAACCCTGTCTCTACTAAAAATACAAAAATTAGCTGGGTGTGGTGGCAAACACCGGCAATCCCAGCTACTCGGGAGGCTGAAGTAGGAGAATCACTTGAATCTGGGAGGTAGAGGTGGCAGTGAGCTGAGATCGCGCCACTGCACTCCAGCCTGGGTGACAGAGCGAGACTACGTCTCAAAAACAAATAAATGAAAATAAATAAATAAAAAAGAAGGATAAAGTGGGATTCAGGTCAATGTAGGAGAGCTTCCATTCTGTAATTGGAGGCTGTTATACATTGAATAAGGTATATGAGGAGGGTTCTGTAATTTCTTTTTTGATGGTCTGAGAGGAAGGTTGTGTAATTTCTTCCTGGAAGAGATTACAGTCTCTTTGTGCTGGAAGGGAAGCTCCTACTCCTTATAAATAAACTCCAGGATTGGGAGTTGTGGAGGACTTGAGGCAAAAGGAATTTATTAGATCTTTAGCCTCAAATAATTTTCTAGTCTCAAACTTCACCTTGATTTCTTCCTCCTACTTGCCCTAGATATTAAACCTTTGACCGTAAAGAGGTTGTCAGATACCTCCACAGATTCCTGCTTCAAGGTGGAGGAGGTTTGTGCAGAATTATATGCATCAAAAACAATGTCCTGTGCTCACCTGTGTGGTAAGCATTGGACAGAACAGCAGTGTCTGTTCCCGCAGTGCCTGCTATTCTCAGCTTCCATTAAGGAACACAGAGCAGTGTCAGTAGCACTCTTCAGGCATTCTTGCTTAGGATAAGAGGTTGGACCCAACATCTTCATCAGTTCTGTGATAATACCACCATTATTCATGAAATACTGTCTGTTAAGCAGATAGACATACTTTTCTAGGATGATATCATACAAGGTGAACTTGTTGTTTTCAGATAAAATAAGAGACAAAAGCTATATTTTGGAAAATGACAAATAACCTTTGTTTTTGCCAAAGTATAAGTTTTCCATCTAAGTCCTATGCTGTGAACCAGAGTATACGGTTAGGTCCCAGGCAGTGGCTCAGTGGTAACTGAGCATAAGGTCAGATTTCAGTGGCACTTCTACTTTGAAGAGTTACGAGAGCTGGGCCACTGTCGCCATCTTTATCGTCATCACCAAGAATTTTACTGGTGTCCTGATTGTTAGAAAGTATTCTTTGAAAGACAGCCTCTAAGTAAATATCGTTGAGTTGAAAAGGGTTGAAACTTTCCCATCAAAACCGCATGGCAGGTAAGTCTAAATAATAAATGAGAAGTTTTTGTGGCTATACTAATCTATTCCATTTATTTAATTCATTATATTGAATATGTTTATTTTTCTTAAAGATTAAAAATTTTTTAATTCAGAATTTTTCTGGTAGCAAAAGGACCTTGGGTGGGTCATATATCAAATAAGTCATAACTTTTTTTTTTAATATTTTCTTAGAGATGAGAACAAAGAAGTCATAACTTTTTTTTTTTAATATCTTCTTACTTAGAGATGAGAACAGCTTCTAAGTCATACTGTATCTTGGGTCCCAGAGGGTATCTGAGGAGGGTAGCAGTTAATTCCAAGAAAATGGGACACCCTGTTTAGAGAATCAATGAATATTCTCTAGAATACAGAGAAGAATTTGGCTCATTGATTTATTTCTTCCACTGACTTATTCAGAAAGGGTTTTTCTTCCTAAAGTGAAAATTGAATTGACCTCACTCTGAACCAATGTTTACATTCAGTGATTGTGTGACTAATATTGAAAATATTGTTTCTTTCTTGCAAAAAATATATTTAACATACTTTAAAATAACATTTTGTTAATTTTTTTTCAGTTGTGTAAAGTGACTTGTGAAACAGGAGACTGTAGACAACAAGAATTCAGGGATCGGTCTGGAAATTGTATTCCCTGCAGCCAGTGTGGGCCAGGCATGGAGTTGTCTAAGGTATACTGGATACATGGCAAAGTTGTGAATCTGTGTTTGTAAAATGCATTCTTTTAAACTAAATCCTTTGAGTTAATTATTAATGAAGCGTTGGATACCATGACCAAATTCTTTGATTATTATGTCACTTTAGCCAAATGTCACACAATTCCCCTTTTAATACTTTTGATTCGTGTGCGTTACTGAGATAAATAGGTTCTCAAACCCAGAATTCAACAGATGTCATTTTTTTATATATATTTTAAGATTTGTAGTATTTCACTTAAACAATAAAAATTTTTAAGGGTTATTTGCATTGATGAAGAACAACCAAAATTCCATTGAAGATTTAAAACTAAAGCATTGGGGGGTGACTGGCAAGATGGTGCAATAGGAACAGCGCTGGTCTACAGTTCCCAGCGAGATCAACGCAGTAGGCGAGTGATTTCTGCATTTCCAACTGAGGTACCTAGCTCATCTCATCTGAACTGGTCAGACAGTGGGTGCAGCCCACGGAGGGTGAGCCGAAGCAGGGTGGGGGCTTGCCTCACCCGAGAAGCATAAGGGATTGGGGAACTCCCTCCCCTAGCCAAAGAAAGCCACGAGGGACTGTGCCGTGAGGAATGGTGCATTCCGGCCCAGATACAACACTTTTCCCACGGTCTTCACAACCCGCAGACTAGGAGATTCCCTCTAGTGCCTACACCAGCAGGGCCCTGGGTTTCAAGCACAAAACTGGGTGGCTGTTTGGGCAGACACCAAGCTAGCTGCAGGAGTTTTTTTCATACCCCAGTGGTGCCTGGAACGCCAGCAAGAGAGAACTGTTACTTCCCTGGAAAGGGGGCTAAAGCCAGGGATCCAAGTGGTCTAGCTCAGTGGATCCTACTGGGCCCCCATGGGGCCCAGCAAGCTAAAATCCAGTGGCCTGAAATTCTCGCTGACAGCACAGCAGTCTGAAGCTGACCTGGGACACTTGAGCTTGGTCGGGGGAGGGGAGTCTGCCATTACTGAGGCTGGAGTAGGCAGTTTTCCCCTCACAGTGTCAACAAAGCCTCTGGGAAGTTCGAACTGGGCAGAGCCCACCACAGCTTGGCAAAGCCACTGTAGCCAGACTGCCTCTTTAGATTTCACCTGTGTGGGCAGGGTATCTCTGAAAGAAAAGGCAGCAGCCCCAATCGGGGGCTTATCGGTAAAACTCCCGTCTCCCTGGACAGAGCACCTGGGGGAAGAGGTGGCTATGACTGCAGCTTCAGCACACTTAAACGTTCTGCCTGCTGGCCCTGAAGAGAGCAGTGGATCTCCCAGAACAGCATTCAAGCTCTGATAAGGGACAGACTGCCTCCTGAAGTGGGTCCCTGACCCCCGTGCCTCCTAATGGGAGACCCCTCCCAGCAAAGGTCAACAGACACCTCATACAGAAGAGCTCTGGCTGGCATCTGGCAGGTGCCCCTTTGGGACGAAGCTTCCAGAGGAAGGAACAGGCAGCAATCTTTACTGTTCTTTCCTGGTGATACCCAGGAAAACAAGGTCTGGAGTGGACCTCCAGAAAACTCCAGCAGACCTGCAGCAGAGGGCCTGACTAGAAGGAAAACTAACAAAAAGAAAGGAATAGCATCAACATCAACAAAAAGCCCATCCGAAGGTCACCAGCATCAACGACCAAGGGTAGATAAATCGATGAAGATAAGTTAAATCTGGAAGCATTCTCTTTGAAATCCAGCACAAGACAAGGATGCCCTCTGTCACCACTCCTATTCAACATAGTATTGGAAGTTCTGGCCAGGGCAGTCAGGCAAGAGAAAGAAATAAAGTGTATTCAAATAGGAAGAGAGAAAGTCTAATTGTATCTGTTTGCAGATGACATGATTGTATATTTAGAAAACTCCATTGTCTCAGCCCAAAGTCTCCTTAAACAGATAAGCAACTTTAGCAAAGTCTCAGGATACAAAATCAATGTGCAAAAATTACAGGGATTCCTATACACCAATACGAGACAAACAGAGAGCCAAATCATGAGTGAACTCTCATTCACAATTGCTATAAAAAGAATAAAATACCTAGGAATACAACCTACAAGGGATGTGAAGGACCTCTTCAAGGAAACCACTGCTCGAAGAAACAAGAAAGGACACAAACAAATGGAAAAACATTCCATGCTCATGGATAGGAAGAACTAATATCTTGAAAATGGCCATACTGCCCAAAGTAATTTGTAGATTCAATGCTATCTTCATCAAGCTACCATTGACTTTATTCACAGAATTAGAAAAAACTACTTTAAATTTCATATGGAACCAAAAAAAAAGCCTGTATAGCCAAGACAATCCTAAGCAAAAAGAACAAAGCTGGAGGCATCACACTACCTGACTTCAAACTATACTACAAGGCTACAGTAACCAAAACAGCATAGCACTGGTATCAAAACAGATATATATACCAATGGAACAGAACAGAGGCCTCAGAAAATAATGCCGCACATGTTGTCAAACCTGACAAAAACAAGCAATGGGGAAAGGATTCCCTGTTTAATAAATGGAGTTGGGAAAACTGGCTAACCATGTGCAGAGAGCTGAAACTGGACCCCTTCCTTACAACTTATACAAAAGTTAACTCCAGATGGATTAAAGAGTTTAGCATAAAACCTAACACCATAAAAATCCTGGAAGAAAACCTAGGCAGTACCATTCAGGACATAGGCATAGGCAAGGACTTCATGACTGAAACACCAAAAGCAACGGCAACAAAAGCCAAAATAGACAAATGGGATCTAATTAAACTAAAGAGCTTCTGCACAGCAAAGGAAACTATCATCAGAGTGAACAGGAAACCTACAGCATGGGAGAAAAATTTTACAATCTATTCATCTGACAAAGGGCTAATATCCAGAATCTATAAGGAATGTAAACAAATTTACAAGAAAAAAACAACCCCATCAAAATATGGACAAAGGATATGAGCAGACACTTCTCAAAAGAAGACATTTATGCAGCCAATAAACATGAAAAAAAGCTCATCATCACTGGCCATTAGAGAAATGCAAATCAAAACCACACTGAAATACTATCTCAGGCCAGTTAGAATGGCAATCATTAAAAAATCTGGAGACAACAGATGCTGGAGAGGATGTTGAGAAATAGGAACACTTTTACACTGTTGGTGGGAGTGTAAATTAGTTCAGCCATTGTGGAAGACAGTGTGGTGATTCCTCAAGGATCTAGAACCAGACATACCATTTGACCCAGCAATCCCATTACTGACTATATACTCAAAGGATTATAAATTATTCTACTATAAAGACACATGCACACGTATGTTTGTTACAGCACTATTTACAATAGCAAAGACTTGGAACCAACCCAAATGTTTATCAGTAATAGACTAGATAAAGAAAATGTGGGACATATATGCCATGGAATACTATGCAGCCATAAAAAAGGATGAGCTCATGTCCTTTGCAGGGACATGAATGAAGCTGGAAACTATCATTCTCGCAAAACAGAGGAACAGAAAACCAAACACCACGTGTTCTCACTCATAAATGGAAGTTGAACAATGAGAACACATGGACACAGGGAAGGTAATGTCACACACCAGGGCCTGTCAGGGGGTAGTGGGGAAGGGGAGGGATAGCATTAGGAGAAATACCTAATGTAGATGATGGGTTGATGAGTGCAGCAAACCACCATGGCAAATGTATCTGTATGTAACAAACCTGCATGTTCTGCACATGTATCCCAGAACTTAAAGTATAAAATAATTTTTAAAAAAAGAAACACTAAAGTGTTGATAACAGAAAACATGAATGCCACACTTACTGGCACTTCTTTTTCTTAAAATGAATGTTAGCATTGCTAGTCAAGAAGTAGAGCCTGCCAGTGTCTTAAGTAAAGATGCTCAGAGATAGCAGGCATTTTCCAAACTAGAGCTTTGAACATTCCTTAGATAGTAGGTGTGTTACTACTGCTCTCACCACAGTGAGTATGTGTTACTCCCAGGAGCACTTTAAATATATTCATTTCAACCACTATTGCTAAGAAACTGTGTTATATCAGGACGTATTTCACAGTCTGGGATGTTCTGAAGCCTATTTTGTTTTTGTTTTTGTTCTTGTTTGTGAGCACGTTCAGAGCTATATATCCATTTGCTTTATTTGCTGATCTTTTAAAGATGTTGCTGGTTGTGGAGAAGCGATGTATTGTTTTAAATAAAACTTCAAAGCCTTTCTGTTAGAAAAGGAACAACAGATTTTTCTTTTTCTTTTAAGAGACTTTTAAAAGAGAAGTCCCTTTTCCCTACAGACTGCCATTATCTAATGTTGAGTCTTGTCATTCATAGATTTTTGATCAATGATTAACAAACAGCAGGAAACAAAGAATTATGCATTCCACAAGTGGCTCCTGGTAGATAGCTTTTCTCTCTGGCTTTTGTGTTAAATGAGTGGTGGCTTTTAGTATCCTGGGCTTTACATTTAGATCGAAACTGACTGATCTTCAAAGTCTGTGTGATATCTCATTAACGGTAACATCTCAACAGGTATTTTTCAACGCCTGTTGATTACAGTAACATGCACTTCAGACGCAGATTTTGCTGCGTCGGGTGTAAAAAGATTCATTTATGACATATCTAAGATCAGTAAACCAAGTAGTTAAAAATGCCATTACGCCCAAGAAGAAAATAGATTGCTGATGAAAAGAGCCAAACTCTGTAAAATATTTGAAGAGATTTATTCTGAGCCAAAAATGTGTGACCAGTGGCCTGTGACACAGCCTTAGGGAGATCCTGACAATATGTGCCCAAGGTGGGAGGGCTACAAGTTGGTTTTATTCAATTTAGGGAGACATAAGACATCACTCAACATTGGTTCTGTCTGGAAAGGCAGGACAACTGGGAGTAAGGAGCAGGTGGGAAAGGGTGATTTCAGCTCATAGATGGATTCCAGGATTTTCTGATTGCCTATTGGTTATTTTCTAAAGACCTGGAATCAATAGAAAGGAATGCCTGGGTTAAGATAAGGGGTTGTG